AAATCGAGGGTTAGCGAGCGCAGCCGTGGCGCGTATACAGTAGAACAAGGGGGCAGAGAAAAGGCTGCTACAATACCTTTAAGACCTAACTCTAAAGTGTTAGATGTCGGGGTAAATTCAATTGAAAAAGCTCTACGATGATCAAATACTGCCTAAAATAACAAAAAGATACAAATGGAAAAGGAAAATAGAAAGGTGAAATAAAACGAATCCAGAAGGCATGGGCGAAAACGGATAAAAACAGAAAAATCTCCAAAAGTGAGAGTGACTTTCTAAATTGCATATGACTCTAACATATACAAAGTAGGAAGACAGTACATGCTACTGACATCGCACACCCTTGGGACACAAGCGCACAAGAAATAGAATAAGGAACCTCATGCGCGTTCACAATTCGAAATGTTATAAAGGAGAAAGAGGTTTCTGTTCGCTTCTATTGGTTTCCTAAACAGTCTGCAGGGAAGTGGCTAGGGCGACTTCTCCAAAAATCCGTTCCAGAGGTTGGTAATGCGCTGTTTAAGCTCATTTGACGAATTCGTGTACTTCCCGTGGCCTAGGGAGCTTTTAGGGGTGCCCTCGAGGACCGCGTGAAAGAGAGTACAGGAGCAAATGGTTATACTCTAGATTGCCTACCTCATCAACTATCATACGTGTTTCTCTAATGTCAGTACGTATTCTGAGAGGTTTGCGACTTTCCGGTTGTTCTTCTGGGCAGGAACCTCGCGTAGGGAGGAGAAACAGAGTCATGTGGTTTCTACCCATTTCCAAAATGTACATTCCCAGTAGGACGGACGGGAAACAGGTAGGTGTGCAACACCTGGATGCGGCAAAACAAACGCTGTGTGCGAACTACAGATTCTTTTCAGAACGATTTTAAGTAGGAAAAAGCCACTTGCGACCCCTGATGGTATATTATAAGTATCATTTCAATGGCGGCACCGGATTTGCAGAGGTTGAAATTTCCGAGTCTAAATATTCGGCTCGTAGAATGGTTGCTTCACTCGACGCTGTACGCAGACATCTTTGCGTTCAACTTCGACGACTCATTGTGAAGAACTGAGATTTTCACGCATTCCTTGCGAAATTCTATAGGTCAATCGATGCGGAAACCCTAACAAGATGGCACTGGATAAAAAATAGGTTCCATGTGTGGCATACTATTTTAATACCATCTATAAATATCAAGCAGCGGCCATAAATTACCTAAGGCAGAGGAATAAAATGAAGAAGAGCGATGGCAATGGTGGCAGAGAAGTACGAACCAGCAATTCAGGTAGCTTAGCATCTCCTGAGCGTGCGTAAGCCTATCGTGTTTTGGAAAACTGCAGATCTAATTGATTGCGTTTTTAGCCTGGCCATGTCATGAAACGATTCTGTACGTAGTTAATAGCTCACTATCGAAAGGCCTCTTGAGATCTATGATTTGGACTTGTAGCAACCGCTCCAGTTTCCCCTTCTCCGGCACCGTTTAGCCGGTTGATGGCCGCAACAACCGTTGACACACGGCCACCGCCGGCTATA